TGAGGAAATATGTTCTAGGTTGGCCCGTCGATTACGACCACGACGTTGACCAATGTCGTGACATTCCTGATCGGATGGTTGACGCCAACTGAAGGTAAGGTTTTATTCGTATCTTTCCACTTCTTGTTCTGGATAGTCAGTGTACTACAATTTTCCGTACTCAATTAAAATGGTCGTAAAGCTTCTCAAAACCCGTTAGTACTTTTTCTTGCAGAAATATCGATTTTCTGCTTCGGTAGCGCAATGGCATTAGGTTTCGCTTACATCTACACGGTGATCATATTCTGCCCGATTCTATACTATTGCTCTCCAGAAGAAACCAAAGAAATTCCAGAAGGATGCTTCCGACGGAAGGTATCAGTTTTCACCCATTTTTCTTATATAAGCAATTCATATGTTCAGGGCAAGCGCTTCTTCCGAGCTGTTCTTCACGGTTACAGTCGGTTCTTGTCCGATAGGCGTGTGGCCATAGTACTGTTTATCGGAACTTTGGTCTATTGGTACTTTGGCATTATGGGCACCGTCAGCATAACAGCCAAGCTAGATACAGAGAAGATTCTTCCAAAGGACACGCCGATCCATCGGCCAAACCGATTTGTGGAGAGTATAGGTAATTTTTGGCTCTGTTCTTCCCAAACCCTTTATCCCTTCATCTCTTTTTCTGTGTTACTTTTTTGCAACCTGCAGATCCATAATTCCAGTCTGGGCCGAATATTACCCTGTTCACATCATCGTCAATAGCCCAGTTGATATTCGTGATGCTGACAAGCTAAACGAAATCAACACATTTGTGGGCGAGTTCGAATCATTGCCAACATGTCGAGGTAATTTATCGACTGGTTCTTTTTTATCATCACAGAGCGCTCGTTTCAGGCTCCAATTTCACAATGTTCTGGCTGCGTGATTATACCGATTATTACTGGGGAGTCGGTGTCAATGATTTCGATTTCTATTTCGATGCTGATGAGTATCCTGATGAGAAAGAGTTTGGATATAAGAAGCTGCCTGGCTTTTTGGGAAATCCTCTCTACAAGCATCATAAGGCATTCCTTAACATCGATTACAACAAGACGTGAGTGATTTTTAGGCTCTTCTCGAGTTTTTGGAGGAGTCCCACGTCTTGAACTTCTTCTGACTTTGAGACTTTTTAGAGTCACCGTTCGCAAATTCTCACTGATGGTAGTTTATGAGAACAATACCTCATGGGATGACAGAATAAACTTGATGCTCAAGTGGAGAGC